TGATCTCCAATGGTTTAGTTACCCAATACCTCTGTTGGCAATAGAAGCAGTGGCTGCTTTCTGCTGGGCTGTTAACTGTGACTTGCATGTAACAACTGCAAAATACACCACCATTGGGGGATCCCTGTTTTACGTGTTTAAAAATGAAATAATTTTTAACAATTCCATGTGTTTTTTTTTTTCTTGCACCTTGTGCATTTTTTTTTGTTTAAATCAGTCCAATTTCCTGAAGTCAGTTAAGGAATATGTCATTAGTTGTTTCATTTATGCTGTTATTTAAAGGCATCTGCCATACTTTTTCCATCAGAAAGGGCACAGTGAAGATACCCAGTTCTGTGTCTGCATCCTGGGTGGTAACATGAAAATATCAAAAGAAGCCTGGAGGACCACGGTATCTCTCCCCCTTGGGCTGGAAGAGAAGCTGAGCATGAAACCCCAGCACCCAGGAGAGCTGAGGCAGTCAAAACTACCTTGCAGCTGCATGCATTGCATGTTGACGTGCACGAAGCTTGCCAGCTGTGAAAAGGGAATGCCTCCTGAGCTTGGTGCAGGGCAGCCAACCTCTTGCACCATTCCAGAGAAAAGGCAAGTGCAGGTGCTGCTCAGTTGCTCTCGTTCACATGTGTTAGGCAGGACCATGTTCCTGTGCATTGGCCTTCAGGACACACAGTATGGTTGTCCTGCGCAGTAGAGAGCAGCTCTTCCCACAAGAAGAGAGACATATGGTTTGTATGTGCTTAGAGAAGGGGGAGGGATGCCTGCCCTCTATACCCATGTCATGCTTTGAAGTAGCATACCTCTACTACTGGTACACGTACCATATTTGGGGAAGCGCAGGATTGTGAGGATGTTTGACATTTGGGATGGAGGGTGATTCTGGGAGGACTGGTGGAATCTGAGGTTGCCTGGGACCGGCTGTTTGGGGAAGACCTGGCGGGGTGGGGGAAAGAGGTGCTCCTGGGAGTCCATATTGTGCCTCCAGACAGTCAGTCTGGCTGGGATCTTCAGGACATACAAATTGAATTAGCTGTGAATTAGTCTGTTCAAAGCTATAAGTCCATCTGAATGTACCCAAGATATACTGGGCATGCCAATGGCCAATTCTTAGAAATGCATCCTAGAGTTTCACCCGCAATAGAAGCCTTGACAACAGATAACTCCTTTTCCAGGACAGCCTCTCAGTCACCTGTGTAGTCTCATCACCTGGCTTTATCATGGTAGCAGTGATTTATGAAGACTTACTAAGACATGGTGCTTCGTACTCAGTTGTGAGCATGGAGCTTGTTGAAACATTGGAGACGTCTTCAGCTGCTGCCAGGAGGAAAGCACAGGAGAAAAGGCAAGTTGGATTAGAAAAGCAATACTGGGCATCAAGCATGAAAATCTGAAAGCCGTTGGCTGTGCAGAGGTCTGTAGGATGGAAACAACTTGGAGAAAGTTTCTGCTCCTAAACACTGCTCATCAGGGTAAGCTTTTGCGCCCCACCACTGTCAACACAGGCTTAAAGACCTGCTGTAGCACCAGCCATAAAGAGCAGTTGAATCACTGTGCCTCTATGTGAGTATGACCCTGGTGTGAGCCATTTACTCAGAGCTCAAATTAGCCACCATCCTTTCCCAAGATACAGGGGCAGAACAAGCAAGGACTGAAATGAGAGAAAGCATTCAGTGGCACGGGGTGATCCATGGCCAGCGAGCTGCACATCTACCTCCTTTTGACCTTAGAAAAATCCCGGTAACTCTGGGGTATGAAGAAGTCTAGCAGAGCTGAGAGCTGAGCCCATCAGTGCAGAGCTTCAGCAGATCCACTATAACCTCAGTGGAAAGCGTTGGCTTTGCTGGAGTTCAGGCACAGCTGTGTCTGAAATGGTTCTGGCTGGGCTCCAGTTCAGGCTGGTAAGAGCTCATTAACCAGCTCAGATTGGAAAATACAACCTACAGAAATAAGTAAGGGAGGAAGAGGCCAGGGCTTCAATAAAGAAGCTTTTGACTCTTTATCCTGCTTCCTACCCAGAATTGGAGCACACTTGCACTCTGGCACAGTGCTGTGGCTAGTCTCCAGCCCTCCAAATCTGTATATGGTGTCATATGCCAAAGGCTCCTTAGACCTCCTAATACCCGCCTTGCCCCTCAGTTTCAGTGTGCACCTTGCAGCAGTGCAGGATCAGATGCAAGGACAGCTGCAGGACATCTGTGTGGAAAAAGCACGGGCTGCTATGGTCCCTGTGCGTTAACAACAGCTGCAGAAAGAAAGGAGTCAAAGAAATATCTCCTCCTGTGCCACTATAGGCAGTAGAGTTTGAGTTCAGCCCGGTGAAGTACCCCACGCTGATACGGTCCCCTGCAGACATACGTGAAAAACACAGCCTGGAAGAGACTAGAGGAGAAAGGAATCCTGCTGCATGCAGATGGAGGAGGTCCAACATGCTGTTGGTCCATAGACAAAGCAGAGGCTATAAAAGAGCTATTTCCAGTCAAACCACCACTCTGAGATGATAATTTGGAGTGTGATAGAAAATCGGTTCCAGCTTGATTTCACTGAAGACTTCACAATAAATGGCTCAGTTTTAGTTTCAGCTCAGGAAAACAAACCAGAACAAGACCTTTGACCAAACCTTTGCTTTGTTTGGTATTTTCCAAGTAACAGCAAATAGACTGAGGTTGTCCTGCAGGAGATGTCCCCCTTGGGGTCACCTGCTGTTGTCCAGCATTGCATTTTGAGCTGACTGACCGTCAGCAAGACCAGAGCTTTCCTTATGCTGCTGCTATGCTGGGAGCGGATCCCCGGGCAGCGTGCTCCAGGGAAGGGTCTGAGTACTTCCCATTCCTCTTTCTGACACTGCTAGGACTTGCTGAATGACCTTGGCCTAGCCCATAATTTGTTTTCTGGGTTAATAAGTACCTCATGGGAGCACTGGGAAGAATCATTAAAAACCGTGCATGACCTGTGGAAGAAAGTGCTGCAGAATGCCAAGTATTGGTTCATGTTTATAGACTTTGTGGCCCAAAGGACAGGCTGTCAAAGCTAACCCATCTTTAAACATCTGGCAGGTCTCAATTGGTGCTGATACACAAATGCAGGCAGTAGCCTGATGGGAAAGGAACAGCTCACAGGTCTCATTTACATTTTGTTTTTAGGCAACTTCTCCAATTAAGGGGGCACCAAAGGCAAATTTCCTGCAAAAAGCACCTAATAAGAGCTAAACCGGACTACAGTGAGCCTCTCGGGTGGTATTTCAAATGGTCCCTTGCCTCAGCAACCACACAAAGGACAAGTAACTGTGGTCCCCTATGTCCTTGCCATTCAGTGACTGCAGCTCTGTCCCATTTACAGTGGGTCTGCAAATAGCTGGCAAAAGCACATCTCTTCAGAAAGATGCTGTGATCAATCATGTCAAGTAATTCTCATTAGCATTAATCAATTCCAACTCTTTACACTTTTTAGATGAGACAAAGGAGACCACCTTGTTTTTAAAGAACAAATTACTGTCAGTGGGCAATATACTTAGACATTGAGAGGAGTGGGGGGAAAAGGCAGGGTATAGAAAATGGAGCATAAGAGAAGAGAAATACCTGCTGAGCTGGAATACCGGAGCACAGTGGCAAAGAAGAGCACAGTGAAGGCTGCCCAGGGCTCGCCAGAGAAGTGCTTCATGCTGGGGGTCCAGCTCCCACCCGAGCGTCCGTGCAGATCAGGTCACTGTTGCCGGCAGCTCTGGTTCAGCAAATCCTCAATAAGCTCAGAGAGCCAGTGTGCAGGACAGAGGGTGGAGCAAAGGAGCTCCCTGCTGCCAGGACACCTTGAACTTTCCTGCTACAACAGGGTGAGGAAAGAGAAGGGCTCTGACCAAAACAGGTCCAGCAGGAGGTGGATACCAGTGCCGAGGCAGGTGGAGGGCCCCTGAAGGTCAAACCTGAAGGTTTCTCCCCAGGATCTGCTGCAGCTGGAGGGAGGAAAGGCCTCCGGAACCAGCCCTTCCCCACGGAGTCCTGGGCAGCTTCTGTCTTCTGAGTCTCTTTTTGGTCCCACAAAGATCATCTAATAGAGTTGGAAAGGAGCAGAGGATCAGGGTAGAGAATTTGTCTCCCTGTTTGGCTTTGATTTTGCGTATTTATTGGCCTGACACCCCCACCCCACCGCCACTCCCCTCCCCAAAAATGCCCATCAGTGATGACTTTTTGGAAGGGCTGTGTGGAAGCGTAAAAAAAAAAAAAAAAAGTCTTTGGTCACACTGATACAGTAGCCATTGGGTTAACACAGGCTATAAGCATGTTTCCACCAAGAAATGGGATGAAACCAGTTGCTTTGTGTAGGTTGCCAATAGCTATTACACAGTAACAATGGCTTTTCCTTAAGGACCTGTGTTCAGTTACAGATTGGGATCAGCTCAAGCTTGGGGCCTCTCTGCACAGGAGAAGCTGCTGCCGTTCTCGCCCCATGAGCACAGCTGTGTCACTGCCTCTGTCACCCATGTGCAATGTGGTGCTGAAAGAGCATTTTTTTCTCCTCTTGTAGTTACACCACGTCCTTCATGACACAGGCAAAGCCAAGAGCTGCTCCCTCCCACCAGCACAGCTCTATCTGCAGACCATGAGGGTTGCTGGCAAAATAATATCAGCTGGAGGACAAGATTTTTTCTACAATCCTGGCTAGGAAAAGTCGCACTATTGAAGTGCTTGTGGTGGTGTCCTGGTCTCATGAGCACCACATGTTGCTGCTGTTCTCCGGGCTGTTGGCTTTGCTTGCTCCTATCTTTGACCCACCACAATGTCCTTGTTAGAGAAAACTTCAGGCATTAAATTGGGCAGGAAGGCTCTGGGAGACATGGGCTCAGCAGGGAGGAGGTTGCTGGTGCTCTTCAGCAGTGGTCACTCACGGCTTCGGTTGCCCATGTGAGAACGAAGCTGTCTGGGGCCTGTTTGGGATGTGCAGCCATCCCATGGGAGGCCAGGAGGAAGGTGCCTGGGGCAGCAATCCTAGTAGGATGGGTAGTATCTAAAATTTTTTTCCTTTTTTCTCTCCACACTGCTGAAACCCACAGAGATGGGAGTAATAGACTTCCCACAGGAACTGTGGTGAGCTACATACAATGGCGTGCTGCTGTGCAAAACTATGAAGTTTGTTTGTTTTCCCTTTGTTTAAGAAAAAGCTTGAGAGCAAAACCCATGTATGCATCTGGCATTGCTGTGGGGTGAACCCGCTTGTCCTTCCCACTGGCCACCCCCTGCCACCGAAAACACTCTGCTCCACTCCAGCTGCGAGTATTTCCATGATGCAGCGGGACACAGGCAGCCGGAGGTTTCCCCCAGAGACAGATCACACCGAGCCGCAGATGAAGGCAAGCCAGCTGAAACAGGCACGTTTACCCACCCTGCCTCCCTGTTTTCGTGTCAACACATTGCTGGGGCTGGCGGAGTTAGGGCTGTGCTGGCCGGTCTGCAACAGCCACCTCCCACCGCTGCGGGTGTGCATGGCCCCGTCCTTTGGCTGCCACCTGAGGGGCGACCCAAGGTGAGTCGTAAACGTGAGTCACGGCAGGAGAGATGCTGTAAAAATGTTCTGACTGCTCAGAGTTGCTTGTAATTAGCCTATAGGATAATCTTCATCTCTGCCTCATTTCAGTGTCTAAGTCCTTTCATGCTAGTTGTATTTAATTTGTGTTTTTATCTGAGCGCTCTGTTACATCAAAACTAAAACTCAACTCTTTACCGGGGAAAGGCCCTCCACTTTCTTCCAGCTTCACCTGCCCCTCCTGAATTTCTCACCTGTGATTTTGAAAGTTGACCTGGCAGGTAATTTTGCAAAAATAATGAGTACAAAAGCATTCTGTGCAGCACAAAATGTTTGAGGGGAAATGAAAAGGCAAAACTGCTCTGCTATTGCATGAATGATTCAATTTGTAATGAAATGTCTTTTGAATTTTAACTATTACTTAAATGATCTTTGCCAGCTTGCAGGTAAATGTGCCCATTTCTAAGGGATGCTAAAAATGTTTTGCACAATTAACATAATGTATTTCTTTTCCTTTCCAAAATGTGTTCCCTCTGTGGTTCAGAAAGGGCCTGCTCCAAAGTGTCCTGAAGCAGTGAACTGGCTGCACTTAGCTTCAGTGATTTTTGGATCAGATTGGAAATGAAGGCTTTGCTTGGTAAGTTCAGACACAATGGGAGCCCTATAAAATCACCTCCAGAGACAGATTTGGATTTGTATCATTTCTTCTGTGTAACACATTCATATTTCAGTGCCATGACTGACCGAAGAGTGATAAGACTCTCCAAAACCTTCCCCCAGTGTGGTTTCTATGCATCGCATGAACGCCTGTCTCCATGGGGTGCCCTGGCACGCGAGGCACGACTGCAGCACCCGCAGAGACGGGGGCTTCCTTTCCTCAGGCTCCCATTTCCATGCAGTCCTCAAGGCAGGACTCCGTTTATGCTAAAATTAGGTACTTCCCCACTTCTCCGCTTGGAGACTCTTCCACGGTGTGTAGGGCTGCTGGTCAGCTTTTCCTGATGATTATGAAGGAGGTAATACCTACTGTTTGGTGTATTTTGTGCCACAGAGAGCGCTTCACACTTAAAGTTCTCTGATGACCAAGGTATTACCCTTGACACATCACCACCAGGTGTGGCTCTCAGAAAGTTATTACCTTTATCACACGCATATGCACTCACTCTGTCTATATATATATTTTTTTCTGTTTACATAGGCAACATGTTTATATTTCTAATTCCAAATGAAAGCTGATTGTTGCTGTAATCCTGTGCCATCCCAGCAGTGACCAGCATGATGGTAATTGAGCTGTAGCTCGGTATTTAACTCAGGGCAAAACACACAACCCATGAGAGCACAGTAGAGCAGGTACATCATCTCTGGGCGTATCAGTGATAAGAGGATAAACCCCTTTTTTCTGTACGACACTTGAGGTCAGTTTAACTGCACCCCTACTCTTGTTTCAGCATACCCGAGGTGCTACTCTGCTTAGCTGCTGCAACAGGAGGGACCTTTGGTGAAAGAGAGCTCACACATGAATGTCTCATGTAGCCACGCAAAACCTTCTGCATGGTGGAGATACTGATCCCAGAGCCACCTACAGCTGTATGAAACTTCCCCGTGTTGCTGAAAGCGATGACAGCCCAGCTGGAGGGGTTGCGTGTTTGGGACCCCCCCGGAGCTCTGTGTGTTGGCACACTGAAGTTGATGACTAGTTGACAATTCCCAGTTACTATTCACAAGGGCTCTGTGCAGCCTTTGAGGTCATGGTCCTAAACGCCAAAAAGATTGCTGGGTGGTCTGCGCTATCGGTGAGACCACAGGTATGGGTCTAGCTCTTACGCTTGCTTCGTAGGTAGCAAAATCTCCAAGTGCAGCTCTAGAATTAGTGCCTCTTGGGGGGGCAGGTCTGTCTGTTAGCAACCCACTGTCTTTGTATTGTGGGGTGAGCTCCCTCCCAGGTGGCCTTTATAAAGCTTAAAAAAGCTTAAGGGCCTTTATAAAGCCCTCAAAATGACTTTGAAAAGCTGAAAACCTTAAGCCTGACACCAATAATGTGTCCACCAGGGAGGGGGCCATTTTCTTTGGTATCTTCATTGATGTGAAAAATAGCCAAGATAAAGCTACCTGTGAACAGGGAATGTGGTTTTTAAAACTAGGCAAACGGAGGAAGAAAATCAAAACCACAAAAGTTTTACTCTTTAAATGAAAGAAGGGGAGAGGGGATCTGCTTTCTATCACACAGAGGAAAGCAGCTCTAGCATTTCAAATAACTCCACAACCGTGCCCTTTGTGTTTTCCAGTCCAGGCTGGGTTTGCTATTAGACAAAAGTTGAGCCTGTGGCCCTGCTGTGACCCCACGCTGTCCCTCTGGAGATGGCAGCGAGGGAGCCCAAAACCAGCCGGCCGGGCGGCACGGGGCTGCGTGAGAAGGGCTGCCTGCAGCTCACCCGAGCAGAGCTGCTGGTGCCGACAATGAGCCCACTGACGGGGCTCCTCCGAACGGCGCTTCATCATCAGCCATCATCTGATCTTTAATAAGAAGATTATTACAAAATAATGTTCTTACTTCCACATGCCAGAGGCATGAAATAGGATATGCTTTCTGCTTCTCTCCTCTGCCCGGGAAGGAGGGGAGGGAAGGGCAAGAGAGATGGCTTTATCCCCGTGCTCCATGTTTGCTCACTCCTTGGCTAATGGGATGGAGTGGCCGGCACAGCACGGCTGGCTTTGGTGATGAAGTGTGTGTTGGGGTCCCCTTCTGCTCCCCCCCGCCCCAACAGCTTGTAGGGGAGTAGCTGAGTGTAACTGTGGGGCTGAATAAGGGCAGCATAGGTGCAAAACAGAAGCAAATCCTGGTATCATCAAATGAACAGAACAGCTTTGCCGGTGGGAAGATATGCTGCGGGTTCAGAAGTGGGGGGAGTAGCCTGAGAAGCTGGTTTATTTTGTTGTGTCAATATACCTCGGTGGAGAACTGATTGATGGCTCCTGTTATTTAGCATTATAGCACTGGCTGCAAGGCAATGCCCTTCCTTTCCCACACCAGCTTCTTCTCAGCCCCGCGTGGAGGATGTTCTGCTCTTGCATGTGACGAGCGGCAGACAGCAATGACTTCACTTCTGCCTTACTGAGAGAAGTTCCCATTTGTCAACAGAAAGTGCTGAATTTCATCAGCCTTTGCTCTCTTTCCTTGGTAGCACCGATGGAGAAAGCAGAGCTGGCCACCGGCGGCCGGTGCGGGAGGAGTGCGGTGCCGTCAAAGCGTGTGGGAGGCCAGGGAGCCTCGCGGCCAGCTCAGCTGAGCAAAATGAAAGTTTTAGGCCCACCTACTAGAATTGCCTTATAATTTTTAATACCTCCTTTTTCAGTCGCACTGCTTGAGGCAGCTGGATTTTGGAAAGCGGTGGGAGCCCTCTCACACTAGCTAAGCCAGCAAAGCGAGGCCACTCTTCCTTGCTTTCGAATAAAAAATCCTCCGTGCTGGGAAACTCTCTGCTGTTACTCACCTTTTAGCATTGTTCCCTTGGACAAGCTATACCCTTCAGCTTGTTGGGTCAGGTACCTCCAAAAAAACAGGTCTGAGAAAGCATTTCTTTAAGGGGTACTTTACAATTTACATATAGCCATGCATTTTCATTAGCTCTTCTTTTGAGATAAAACTTCTTGCAGATGCTAGATTTAATAGTGACCCGGCCAGCCGTGTTTACCAGGATGAAACCCTACCTACTCTGACCTCAGTGGGAGCTAAGCTGTTGGTTTTAGGAGGGGTTGAATTTCTTTCTGCAGCCCTTGCCTTAACAGCTGAAGTGGGAGAAAGTCTATAAAGCCACTTTTTCCCCCAATATTTGTCATTTCAAGGGGTGAGAACCAAGTTCCCCTGTATCTGCATCGCCCCAGGCTAGTGCAGCTCTCCTGACCGAGCCCCTGCCCTCCCAGCCCTCCCTTTGCTGTATAGCTCTGCCCGTCCCCCGGCTGCAGTAGAATCATTAATCTCCCATTGTTTCCCTGTCCTTTCCCCAGCTGCCTTCCGTGAGGAAAAACCAGCAAGAAACAGCGCAGAAGTTTTCCACCTCCCTGGCGACTGATCCCCCATCCAGGGCTTGCAAATGAGTTTTCATGGGTTTATAGCTCTCCGGGTACAGCAAGTTTCAAAGGCTCTCCCTCATTTTCGGGTGGCCGGGGCGGTGTGAGCCGGCATGCCCCATCTGTTATTAGTCTCAACAAGCCGCGTGCTGCCTCAACACGGCACGCGCTTGTCGCAGCCCTGATGTGGAGGTTGTGACCGAGCCAGAAAGTGCTGGCTCCAGACCACCCGGGGGTTGTTTTTGGGACAGAAAAGTTTTCCTTTCTCTGGTCCAGACCAGTTCTGACCTTAAAAGAAAAGGTTTGCTGTGCCCTGCGTGAGACAGGACAGTTGGCTGGGGCGCTTCACTCGCCACCCTCCTCGCCCGGCGCGGTGCTTGCAGCTGTGCCAAAGCACAGCCCGCCGTCGTCGCCTGACGGGACTGCTGGCCAGCTGAGGGGACAGAGCTCGCCCCTTCCCCGGGGAGAGAGCCTGCCGGAAAGGAGCGCGGTGGCCAAGAGGTAAACCCAAGTAACACCTTCGCGGAAGCGATTTACAGCACCAGGATTTACCCTGTCCAAAACCTGGTGCGTTTTAATGCAGTGCAATACTGCTGGAAAATAGCAACCGGGGATAGCGTGAGTGGTTTCTCAGTTAACTGTTCTTTTGCCAAAGGAAAAAATTGGGGGGTGGTTTGATAGAGGCATGGCTGGCAGCAGGTGGCTTTGGGCAAGCCTCCTGTAGCTGCAGGAATGGATGAAGGGCAAATGCTCTGCCTTCCTTGGAATGGGGCTGGGAAAGGTTTCCTGGTTGGAAAGGGGTTTCCTCTTTTTGTTTTTCATTTTTCTCTCATTCCGAATCAATGTGAAAGTGAGCCTTTGGGGTTTTTCACTGACTGATTACCGAGGAAAAGTAGAACCCTGGGTTCGGATGGTCTAAAGCAGTTTAACTAAGTTATTTCCAAATATTTCATTTGAGTTTCTTCTTTTAAATCTCAGGTTTTAACATTTTTTATGGTGGTTAACTGCAGGTTTAGAAATACAAACTGCTTTAAATTGTAGTCTCTTCACACTTTTCAGTCCAAAGAAGTTAAGATGGGACATTTTGATGATCTTTTAAACTTTTTGAAAAATATTTTAAACTTTTTCAAAATCAGCGCTAGGGATTTTTTTTTACTTTCTTGCATGAGTATTGGGGGTCTCTTGCAGCTTTTGATTTTTTCCTGTGAAAAATATAGTTTGCTGAAAAATGTCCAACCAACTTTAAAGATTATATCCTTACTCAACCCACTGAAGCTGGCACATGATATATTTTATTTTAACAAGCTACTAGTTGTCATATATTATATTTTAAACTTCTTAAATAATTTAGCAAATGGGTACAGAGAGTAAAACAAGGAAAACTCACAGGACAATTGAGCAAATATGGACTTGTGACTACGGTGCTCCTATTAAACAAGGCTTTAATATCTTGCAAAGTGTTTCTCTCGCTCACATTTAAGATAAATCTTTCATATGTTATAAAGAAAATTATTAGAATCCACATTTTTAAAAGTGTTGCAAGACAAGGTTCACGGAGAGAGAGAGAGAGAGGGTTAAGGACAATTGACTTCCCATCCCTGTCAACAAGTAGAAGTGATGATATAAAGGGATTTTGGTTTGCTATTTATAAAAAGTAGGCTTGCTACAAAATTAAATGCATGCAAGAAGTGTATCTACTTACATGTTTTTCTCTGGGTAATAATAATCACTGTGTTTGTGCATGCAAATCAGTTAATTGTGGCAATTTGTATGTTCAGGTTACCCAAAGTAAATAATAAAAAGCATATAGACAAAAGGAACTTTTATGAAATGTATGATATTTCATGTATCTCATTTTGAAAACAGTCCTTTATGGGGAGAAAATGCTTTTTTAAATCTTAAAGTTTGTTTTAATTTAAATAAAACAGTCCTCTTTTCCGCATCCCCATATAACATGTTTGAGATGTGTTTGCAATGTTGTGTTCACGCTACCAATGAAAGTGATAAAAACCAGTCAGGCCTCTTTCACCCGTCTAATTGCAAGGTGAAATTAATAATTTTTCTTCTCTGTCTTGTGGAAGAAAAAGATAAATTGAGTCCTTCACAGACTCAGCATCCAAAACCCAAATCAAGGGCCTGAGTGCAGTGATCTGAAGCATCTTTGGCCCAGCAGAGGACAGGGCAGGGTATTTGCTCATCACCTGTCCTAGGGGCTCACTGTCTGTACTTTTTCCTTATGTCACACAACTACCTTAACATGCATCACCACGCTGGTGGGATACAACCTCATATGGGTCCAAGGAGGCTTTTAGGAGGTGAAGAAAACCTTTTGAAGGACATGATGGGCAGCTTTGGGTTAGCTTTCAGCACCTTGACTCAGTGATCCCAATGTTTTCACAGTGCTCAGCACCTTCTGTCACCTCCCTGGGTGAGGAAGACTGTGCCGCTGCCACCAAGGCCCCCACGGACGCACAGGTCAGAGGAGGGCAGGAGAAATGGCCTCGGTCTTCCGGAGCGAGGAGATGAGCCTGATGCAGCTCTTTCTGCAGGTGGAGGCTGCCTACTGCTGCGTGGCCGAGCTTGGGGAGCTGGGTCTGGTCCAGTTTAGAGATGTGAGTAGTGCCCAGCCGGCACACTGAGCTCCAGGAGATGCGCCCCGGGGTGTGTTTGTCCTTCCCTCAAAGCATTTGGGGAAGGTACACCTTCAGGGTGGTCAAAAAGCCCCTGGAGAGAGCGGGGCTTCCCCAAAGCTGATCTGAAAGCCAACCACCATGCTGAGACTCAACTTGTTCCTGAGTCCCCATCCACTGCTTTGCACACTCTGTGCAACTTTAGGACAATTCCCTCCACCACCAGAAAACACGGAGTCTCTCCGTAAGAGTCCATCTATGACTCCTGCTGTCACAGCACAGCTGGGTGGAAATGAGCCTGGTAAGGCCATGATGTCCTTGGCCCTAAGGAAACCTACAGTATTGCCCTGCCTCTAGGAGTCTATAAGATGCAGTGGCATTGGCCACCTGCACCAAAGGCGTTCACTCTGTGCTGATGTTAAAAATGAGCATGGCAGCATGAAGCCTCCAGCCCCAGGCTTGTTTTCCCTCCTGTTTTTAGCTGAATGTGAACGTGAACAGCTTCCAGAGAAAGTTTGTGAATGAAGTGAGAAGGTGCGAATCCTTGGAGAGGATCCTGCGTAAGTAAATGCTTGTCAAATGCAATCGGCTTTCCGCCAACTGCTGGTGTGGGATTTATTTCTTTGTTAAGTGCTCTCACACTGTGGAGCAGAATTAGTGGCAAAATGGTGATGTTTTCATCTGAGCTCCTGGAAATGTTTTGCATGCGTCAGCTAATTACCGCTTCACCCCATATGGGCAATAAATTGTTGCCCCTGTTTTGAAAACTGAGCTGAAAGGAGGTTAATTAGCTTATATAAAATCACAAGATAAATCTGGGGCTGGGCAGGAGGCTAATCCAGATAACCAGACTCTTACACCAGTGTGCCAGCCATTGGTATACGCCTCCCGTGGCCAAGTGCTTCAGCCTCGGGACAAATCCTTAAAACCTGAGCAACAGAGCTTGTGGCTCCTGCTCTCCTATGGGCGTGCATCCCGTGAGCTCTGCGCTCCCCACCACCACGACACTGGCACCCACCACAGCCACTGTGGAAAGGATGGTGCAAGAGTGGAGGAGCAAAGCCTTAGCTCGCTGTGTGCCTTATTTGCTGCCCCAAGCAAGGCGGTGCCGTGCCAGCTATTTGTGCCAGGGCTGAGGGCTGTCCAAGGCAAGGGGGTGGGAGCGGCCACCACAACTTCAGGAGAAAGAGGGTCCTCGCTGAGAAAGGAGCCTGCTGGGTGTCCAACCCTTGATGGTTGTGTATATACATTGGGATGATGGCCCTTGGATATCACTGCCCCTTGTCACACCTCCATGTGATGCCTCAGTCCTGACAGTGGGTTTAGCAGCAGCTGGTGACCAGGATGATGCAGCAGGGATGACTCTGTATTGAGACCTCTCTGTCCTTTCCTTGAAGGTTTTCTGGAAAATGAGATGGAAGACAATGCTGCGATAGTCAAACTAGGAAAGTACCCAGAGACCCCCCTGCCTCGGGAAATGATTGATATGGAGGTACAGAACTTGGAGCGGTCCAAGGAGAGAGAGAAGGGGATGTGCACCAGGCTGTCTGTGTAATGTGCTCGATACAGCCCTCCCCTGCAAAGAAGAACCCGGTAGCTGAGGCTGGCACAGCCTTCCCTGCCTGTGGAGGTGCTCCCCGAGTTGCTGCCTCAGCAGTTAGGTTAACTGCATGTTCCTAAAGTAGCCCAGTCTTTTCATCATTCCTTGTAAAACATGCCTCTGGTCCCACATATTAATGGAAAAGTACCACTGTCACAGAATGCCCCCCTCATCCTGTAGGAGAGAATAAGAAGGTTTTTGGTGATTAACCAGAAGAGCTGATATTAGAGCCAGCTTCACTGCATAAAAACCCCAGGGCTGTCTGTCCTGGTGTGAGTATGGTTGTGATATAGTAATACTAGGGCATGGCAAAAATATTTGTGCCTTGCTTTTGGATGCGCAAAGGATACTTTATTCTAGTCCAGCTGGAGGCTAAGTTTACCAGCGGGGTAGTTTTTAAATGCTGCACATGTGGGTGGCTAGGAAGAAAAATCATGCTTTCCAAGGGCTTCAGCTTCATGAGCAAGGTGGTGGCCTGGTGTGTTCCTGGACCCACATCCTTGCTTAATTTTTGGCCTATAGCTAATGAACCGAAGCTAATGGCGTTGTTGTAGGCTGCTTTCGTAGTCAGTAGACTGACAGCCAGTCCACCTGGGGGCTGAGATGTTCTGCAGGGAACCACAGAGGTGCCAAAACAGGCTGAGACACCTACACCAGGCACCCACTTACATGCCTGAGCTTCGGTCAGGTGAGACAGAACTCTAACACCAGAAGAGGACAAAGCACCCAGTAGGGAATGTGGCAATGGGAAAATGGGGCATCGGCATTGACTAATATCTTCCTATAAACTCAGTGTTTACTGAAGTGCTCACTGAACATTTCTGTGTTCCCCTTTGAAAAAAACAACCATCCATTGTTTGAGATTCGATACCAGCTTGGTAAAGAACCATTGGTCTGCTTCAGAGTTTTTCTGGATGTGCTTGGACCCTAAACAGACGGTGCTGGAGAAACTTGAAGCTGAGCTGCTGGAAGCCAACCAGAACCAGCAAACACTGAAGCAGAACTTCCTCGAGCTGACGGAGCTCAAACATCTGCTGAAGAAAACTCAGGACTTCTTTGAGGTGAGAGACCTCATTGCTCTTCCAACAGAGATGTGGAAGGTTCCTAAAAATACTGGCCTTTTCATTTGGTGTGTGTTGCTGTTAATGATTTTTGATCAAAACCGAGTGGTCTTTACCACAAGCCAGTAAGATATGTTTGCAAAAGCACCTCAGTCACTTTGGAGCCTGCATCACTCCGAGAGTCAGTGGGTCTCAAGGATTTTGTTCCCAGATCTCTTTAAAAACGGCATTTATGCTTTTCAGTTGCTAAGAGATAGTTTACCTTTTTTTTCCCCCGCTTTTGGTCTAAATCTCTGTGGAAAGCTACCTTTGGGGAAAAAGATGTCAGGAGAAAAATGTGAAAATAGTTTTCAAACTGGCAATGTTGAATAGTTTTTAAAACTAATGTTTTCCAGGCAGAAACCAATCTGCCAGATGATTTCTTCAGTGAAGACACATCTGGATTGCTGGAGCTGAGGAGCACTCCTGCCGCTGCAGCTGCCAAGCTGGGGTGTGTATTGGCGATGGCCCCCAGTGTGGCCAGGCTTCCCACCTGCTGCTCCTTGTACATGCCTGCACTGCATTGCCATGACACTGGTACACTTCCTTCAGCTTCTAAGCAGAGGTTGCTCACCAACCTCTTCAGTGTAGCTGTTTAATGAAGATGAAAAAATGACTGTCCTCTGAAGTGATCATCAAAACTATGGTCAGGTTATGGGTCAGTGGGACAAATGGACTTTTACTTCCAGGCCACCAATTTCAGTGACCACGTAGTAGGTATTGACTGAAAAATGTTATCTTATGGCATCTCACCTGTGGCTTCTGGACTCGGACATCTGGGTCAGGAATGGATGTCTAACCGCAGCAAAAAGCCATGGGATTGCTTGCACTGGGCTTTGTCTGCAATAGAAAATGGCACTGAGGGTGAGAGTTAGGGGAGCAGAAATACCACAGCACGTGTTTCTGACTGTAATTCAGTGAACATCATAGACTTAAACAGCTTTCCCTTGTGTTTACATCAGCTAGGTGTGGTGAAACTCGCTGGTGGTGTTCTTCCAGGCTGGTGTTTTTAGCGGCTCATGCTGGTATTTCTGAAGTCCTGTGCAACTGTCTTAGGAGCAAAGTGTATGCCTGCAGAGGTGTGTACCAGCATATCACGCTGCACTTCAAAGGTGCAGTTTGGCGCTTTCTGGGAAAAGGAAAACAGAAGGGAGTAAAGATAAAGCACCACTTCAAAATTGCTACCTCCTACCTCTGTCATTCAGGCATTCTCTGTTCGTGTGACTTTAGGCTTCTCTTAATTCCTCCATTTCTAGCCAGAATTGTCTCTTCTCCTTTTTCTGTTGATCTGAGGAGGACTTACAATGTTTGAAAGAAAGAACAACAAGATAAAGCCAGTAAATTGAGACAAGAGCCAGGCTTGAGCAAGGAGGTCTTTCCTAGAAGTGCCTACAGCAGCAGCAGAGCCCTGGCTACCATGGACTAGAAAACAAGAGATTGTAAAATCATGTGTGTTACAGGTCCTAAAAGACTTAGAAAGGGCTTGTAATTTATTTATCTTTTAACTCTGCTCAGATTCACAGCAGGGGTAATAAAGAGGGAAAGGATGATACCTTTTGAGCGTTTACTGTGGCGAGCCTGCAGGGGAAACATCTACCTGAGGTACACCGAAATGGACACCCCCCTGGAGGACCCTGTGACGGTAGGTACCGACCTGGTTTTGTTTCATGCTGCTCCTCGTGCATGCCTGCGGCCTGTGGAAACTCAGCTGGTGCCCTGGCCATGCTGCAGCACCGGCTGCCTCACCAGAGCTGGGTGTCTGAAGGCAGCCCATAGGTGGGAAAGTCTGAGGATGGGAGAAGTTCTTTTGACATTGCTTTCCCTTTTTGCCATTATTGAGGTGGCTTCTTTGTCCTCCCTGGTTAATGTGCATGTGAGTCCTAGCAGGGTGGCTGCATTACAGGGGCCACTGGGGAGGTGGGCTGTGGCTGTCCTCACCTGGGGGCTGGCCATGGAGGGTTGACCCTCCTTGCTGTATCTGGGGTGAGCCCTGTGCCCCTGCGGACCTCCTGTCTCCTACCTCTCTGCTCCACATTGCTCCTTCCCCCATAACCCAGAGCTGCCACTCATGCCTGGTCCCTGAAGCAGCATCTAGGGAAAACATTGCTGCTGGAAAACTGCGGCTGGGGGAAAAGAACAACCCAGTTGAAGAGGCTGCTGAAAAAAACCCACCGCCTGGGTGCACTGGACTTTTTCCTCTGGGAGCTTTAAATTCTGCTTGCATTGCGTTGCAGAGAGAAGAGGTGAAGAAGAATGTGTTCATTATCTTCTATCAAGGAGAGCAGCTTAAACAAAAAATCAAGAAGATTTGTGATGGGTAAGGCAGTCTGGCGGGCAAGCCACAGTGACTCCCACAGAGGTGTTTGCCTGTCAGCCTGGGATGGCTGAATTTGGAACTGGAGATTAGATCTCTGTGCCCTGGCTGTCAGTTCTGCCACTGAGCTCCCTTCTGCTCCTCAGCTCTGCTGCTCGTAGTCATGAAAGATATCTGTCACGTTGGCACCTGGAAATTGAGGTCCTAAATTTTCCCAAGTGACTTAAAGATCCTGGGAGCTTCAGTTCCTAGGATTTTAACTTGGGACATCTTAAGTGGGAGCAGTTTTTAAATACTCAGCACTTCCCCTGAAAACCAGGGGCCCAGACTTGGGCACTCAGAACATAGTAATCCCCAAATTGCTCTCAAGCCTTCCTGCATTTCAGTATAAAAAGATGATGCGGTAGTTTATTCAACCCTTTCCCAAGGCCTTTGGGCAATATCTGTGTAATCAGAGACAGAGCCCAGAAGAGAAATGAAAGCTTCATACAGCCTGGCTTGTTTCCACCCTGTTAAGCATCTTGGAAAGATAATTCAGGTCGAATATTTTGTTACTCTTTCATAACCCTGATGACCGATGGGCTTTGTTGCAGTGTAAATCAGATTTGACCAGGGGATCTGTCTGCTGTCACCGAATCCATTTCAGGTATAGCCCCTCGGCCAAGTGGGGCCAGCCAAGCGCCTGCAGGCTGCAGAAGGTCGCAGGGAGGGGGTGAGCGATTGCTCTTACCCGACATGTGCAGATCTTTCCTTACATCCTGCCCTTAATCAGAATAAAAGCAGGAAGGTCAGTTCATCCAGCTGGGAGAACTGACTTCAGTCCTATGAAGCAATAGACCCCTGGGGACTATTAGCAATTCCTGCACTAGAAATGGGGCCCTCCAAGATGCCTTCTATAGGCAGTGGAGGGCAATGCTCATCCTGAGAGCAATTCAGCCCTCCTGAGGTGGGCAACTCTCTCTATAAAGCAGCCAAGGGGGCATGGAAAGCTGGGGGAAGACTCCCAGGTCTCAGTCACTCATTTCTGATCCTGAACCTCAGACATGGAGGGAGTTTTGCCATTGCCACTGTGCAGGATCAGTCTGCTGCTGCCGGTGGTCTTCGAGCTTTCTGCGAGTCTCGTTCTCTTTCTAGATTACAATTTCCTGCTTACATCCAATTTCTTTGCCTGATTTTTAGACGCTGTTCTGTACTCTTCTCCCCTTCTGCACTCATGGGCAGTTACTGGTGGTTAACGCTTCCCATTGCATTTGCCCCTGTGCCAATGGTCTTGCAAGTTGCCAGGCCATACATTTAGAGTTGGCTGGGGCTGCCCACAGAGTGCTGCGGGTGCTTCATCTTGGAGGAATTTTTTTTTTCCCTGCAGCATTTTAAATTCCCTGCAATCGAAAGTCCAATACTTTTTTTCCAGGGTGGGAGTAAAAGAACAGGCAAATGTGATGCCTGTCAGCATTTTTGTTATTGATTGAACCCAGAATCTTCCAAACCGGAGGCATGACCTTCTGCAGCAGGGTGCAGCTGGGAGCGTGGCGCCAGGCAGCACTGGTAGTGTGAGCAGATCCCTGCAGGGTGAGCCATGATGTGCAAGGTTGTTATGAGCTGGTGGCACGTATGTGGTGGTGGGTTCATAGAAAGGAACTTAGACTGTTTTTTCTCAGCCTCTTGTAACTGAAGAAAAACATTCCTACCTAAGACAAATTCACAGAATGTCCTTTCAGTGGTAGCACACTGGTTTTTGTTTGTTGCCAGCTAATCAGGCTACACTTGAAATTGTCCTTTATGTCTTTTCTTCCTTTCAAATTTTTTGCTTGCTAATATGCACATATATATGGATGTTTTGCTGAGTGGCAGTTTTTAAAATTTATTAATTCCATGACTGTCCTTTTGTGCTCTGTGGCCCATCAACCATCCCTGGTACACAGGTCAAGACATTTTGGTCTGGTCCATCTTTAAGGCAGGGTTAACTATACCTAAAGCAGATGGCAGCGTCATTCCAGCCCCAGCAGGGCATTTCTGCTTAGCACTAAGTCATCATTCATGACAAGTAAATATCCTGCAAAAATCATGGGACTGGTATAAGCCAGTCTCCTGCAAGGCAGGCTAAGATTTGTTTGCAGAGCAGTGTGCCTCAGGTTACGCTTGTAGTCCCTGCTTGACTCTAATTGGTAACATTAGTCTGCCAATTTCATGAGCATTAAGTCCATGCACAAATTTATTAGTGAAAGGTGTAGAGGGAGCAGGGAGGAGGAAAATGTAAGAATTTTTCTTTTCCTCCTTTTCTTGCGGCTGCCTCAGTGCTAATGTGAATACTAAACTGGGTTTATCAATGTAAGGATTCCCTGCTGAATTCTCCTGGAGCTTTCAGAGATGTCTGTGCCATTAGGGCAAAGCTGATATTCAGTATGCAAAATGGCTGTTAAAAGATCAAAGCAACACTGCTGCAATAACGTTATTGGAAACGGGGGAACTGTACAGCATGGAGGAATAAGCTTTCAAGTTTGATTAAAAATCCTTATTAAAGATGAACTAAGAGCTGTGAAGAATAAGAAGATGGAAATAATTAGGTAGGGTGAATCACCTTTGGAAACGAATACCAGGTGTTGAGCGAGGAGAGATTCAATTCTGGAAAGGGAAGTTTAGCTGAAGAGCGCGTGCTGTCATTACACACAGCTCTGGGCTGATCTCTAGGAAACTGCTGCGTGTTTTGTTCAATTTGCAACTGTCCTCACTTGTGTGTGTGCTGGAACTGATTTTGGAGAGCAGGTGGTGATATATTCTGTGCTCAGACAAAGCCAGAACATGATGCTTATCTGTATGTAGAGCATGCACATTTTTGTCTCTTAAACAGGGATAGACCCCTTATGACCCTGTTACATCTTCTTTTAATTCATCTCACATGTGGAAAGGCATCCCTTCACAAACCCTAACTCACTGTAACTCCACTGCAGGGTGGTAGAAGTGTGTTGCCTTAGGTGGGCAGAAGATCTCCGCTCTGTAAAGAGGAGTGATCTCTTCCTGCAGACCTGTTGGGGCAATATTGAAGGATGACATTTATAATGCCCTTGAAGTAGCAGGGCTGGCACAAGCACTCAATATCACTGAACAAACTGAGTAGGAAAAACTGGAGGGATCTCTGCTGTTTTAGTTACTTCAGCACCTCAGCTCTGTTAAAGCTTGTAGGCGCAGAGCCTTGCAGCAGTGCACCTTGTGATCTGCGAGGTCCCAGCGGGAACCCCTTATGCCTGCTCTTTGTGCATGAAGTGTACTGTTTTGCAGGCAGGACAGGCAGCTGTACACTTTTCGGAGAGACATGCAACTTATTTATTTCTAATTGGCTGTATGGGGTTTATATAGCGGCTTTACAACACCGCAGTGGAGAAGGTCGTGTTGCATGCTATATAGATGAAGCAGTATACACCATCTGCATGGAGATAAGACCTTCACTCACATATTAGAAGGCCACGTTAGTCCTTATTATACCACATGAAACAAAGCAGCTGAATCTCCCAAATACAGCCTTGGGAGTAAGCTTATAAAAGCATTTATACTGGCCTCGCCACATGTAAGCTGACATAACAGATACCTCTCTCAGGTGTTTAAAAAACTTCACCCATCCTTCCCCTGCTCCCAAGCCAAACAGATGGACCAGAAGCCAAGAGCCGGCTGTACGGTCATTCTCCTTTTGTTTTATCCTGGAAAGACAGTCGTTTTGGGGGCGTTCTACAGGGTTATTTACTTACACAGCCTGCACGCACGAAGGGTGTTTGCTTGCTGTGCAGCCGTAGCTCGGCTGATGCCTTCCCCCAGTGACTGCCAGAGGGTAGTGCAGAGGCAGGGACATGGGATTTTTCCAGCCTCGGTGCAAGAGGGCCATCTGTTGGCTACTGTCTTAACGGGGCTGCCTTTGCCAGGGTGGGTTTTTTGTGGCTTTTTGCAGTTCAAGCAGCTTCCCCAGACGTTATAGCAGGGCATCCGTACTGTGCGGGTAAGGGAGGTGCCGGTGCATTAGTGCTGACCACTAATAATTATATCATGTCAGGGTGGGTTTTTTGTGGCTTTTTGCAGTTCAACCGTCTTCCCCAGACGTTATAGCAGGGCATCCGTACTGTGCGGGTAAGGGAGGTGCCGGTGCATTAGTGCTGACCACCGTATAATATCATGTACCTTGTAGCACCTGAGACAGGGAGTGGGTTTTTTTCAGCTAGAACAGCAGAAGGGGTCCTTTTTCTCACGAAGGGATAAATGTACCTTTTTGGACCTTTCTGGGAGAGCAGGCACAACTTTGTAGTATGTTAGAAGTGTATACTACCGGGTGAGGAATAAAGTCCAGTTTCCTCACCTTTGAGGTGAGAAGAGTCCAGAGGAAGAAAAAGTCAGTCAAATAAATGGTGTTTCTCACTTCTCTCTTACTGAGGCTAGATTTCGTGCCACAGTCTATCCCTGTCCAGAGTCTGCCACCGAGCGCCGAGAAATGCTTGATGGAGTCCACACAAGGATCGAGGATTTAAATACAGTAAGTGCCAGCGGCTTTACTGGGGTCTGAACCCTGCAGGTAGCACCTGCCCAGACATTTGTCCTATCTGAAACCCTGTGGCCATGGCCAGATCCCAGACTTCTTTTGGGAGCTGGCTGGGGATGAAGCCACCAGCCCAGGAGCGGTCCCCCCACCTGCGGAGGCCAGTGCCTGTGCTCTGCTCTGCCCATTCACACCCCCCAGGAGCTGCTGGGGGACAGCCTCCCACGTGAGGGGCTGAAGAACTACTTGCTGCTGTTGGCTGTGCAGATGTCAGAGGTTTAGAGCTTATGATATGAGGCTACAGGGTGGGATCTGAGATCATCAGCAGGCTTACAGGTATTGTAACCAAATTGCACATTGTCCAAAATGGTTTCATCTAGCTCTTACAGCATGGTTTCCCTCAGCAGCTCTCAAAGTTGCTCAGTCACAAGTGTGGTACAACTATACTAGGCTCAGAGAGGACTCTAAAGATTTATTTTTTATTTAGATTAGGTTTTCTATACTGAGGAAGTCTTGGGGCACTTTTCACGCTAGCAATGGAAAGCCAAGACTGCTGTTATAGAAGTACAACCTCATTTAACACAGGGCTGAAAATTACAAGTTCAGTTGTTATGGGTGCTCAGTAGCTTGTATATCCATATACTGTATCAGGACTTCACGCCTTTCGGAGGGAGTCCTGTCTGTGACCTTTGTATTGTCACACATGACAGTCAGTGTTTCCTGAGGCAGGAGGCAATGGACACCCTGTTTGCCTGAGGTGGCTCATCTGGCAGTTGACATCCTGCTGTCAACCCCTCTGTGGACGCCTGTGACTGCCAAGCCTGCTTCCAAACTGACTTTTACTCTTGAGCATCATGGGCAGCTAGGCTTTTTCAGTGCTTGTAGACCACACAGGTTATCTTCCTAACACATTATCTCCATCGCTTATTTATGCAGCAGCACTGTGGTGGGCACATGATGCATGGAGGTCCCACCAGGGCCATAAGCTGTAGCTCTAGCAGGACAGGCACGCTCGTGGATGTGATGTGCCCCAAGATCATCGCACAGAGCCGCCTACAGGAGATGGCAGGGTGGGAGCTCACAGTGACCAGTCTGTAAGCAACTGGGTAAGGAGCCATCCCACAGCTCACTAGCTCCCGATGGTCTCCTCTACACTTAGAGGCTCAGGGCCATGCAGGGAGAGTCGTTATTGAACAGCATTGTGCATCTGGTATCAAGTGCTCCTGTGTCCAGGCCTGCACACACTGCCCTCCAGGATACCCCATACATTCACATGAATTGCTCCCTTTCCACAACCCTCTTCCATCTTTCTTCCCCAAATAACTGCTGAGTAGACCATGCCACCTATGCCTTCCTGCCTCAAGTGCTGCTTGTGCTGTGGTTACAGGTGATAACCCAAACCGAGTCCCACCGCCAGCGACTGCTGCATGAGGCAGCAGCCAACTTGTGGTCCTGGGGGATCAAGGTGAAGAAAATCAAGGCCATCTACCACATCCTGAATTGCTGTAACATTGACGTCACCCAGCAGTGCGTCATCGCAGAGATCTGGTTCCCAGTGGCTGATGCTGGCAGAATAAAAAGAGCTCTCCATCAGGGAATGGTAAGAGACTAACATTTCGGGTCCCTGAAGCTGTCACCCAAACTGCATTGTTTATATGGTGGGCATATGTTCAGACTTCTGTCTGTTACTGCAATGCTGGGCTTCCTTTTCTGTTTTAATTAAAGCTGAGGTTGTCGCATGATCACTTGGCCTCGGTGAGTTTAAGGTCAGCATTAAATCTTAGCAGGTTTGTGATCGACCCACAAGAGTCAGCAGTGCTGGCAGCTTTCCCTGAACAAATCAATAGCACAGAAAATGGAAAAATCTGGATATTAGAAAAAGGGTTGAGATATAACACTCCTGAGCCCAGCTTTCATGTTGCTGCCTGTGCATGTTTGGACACAGACCTTGGTGCTGTGGGACCAGTTCCTCTCTGCTACCCACCCTGACTCCGTCTCTCCTTGTCACTGGGTTTGCAGGAGCGCAGTGGCTCTACTATTGCCCCTATCCTGACCGCTGTACACACCAGGATGGCGCCACCCACCTTCAACAGGACCAACAAGTTCACAGCTGGATTTCAGAACATTGTGGATGCGTACGGTGTGGGCAACTACAGGGAGATGAACCCAGGTGAGAAACACTCAGCGACCTGCACCTGGCTTGCTAGAAGGCTTGAAGCCTTTGAGCTTCATCACTATCCTAAAACGTGCACTCATTGCTGTTTGAGAAATGTGAATCATATTTTATGCTGGTAAAAATTGGTACTCTTTGGTGCATGGGCATGGATTTTCTCAGGCAGAGAATTTGGCCATCAGTCTTCAGCGATTGATTGTGGCAGGAATAATGAACTACACAAATACAGGACAGGGAACAAGTAGTGAGGTAGCAGCACTGAAAAAAAGACCTAAGCCCACAAGGCAAATATAAGTTGAGCTTATGAAGCTGAGGCAAAAAAAAAAAAAAGCCGAAAGGACCTGAGACAAGTGTGAAACACTCATCTCAAGGAGAGCACTGAGAATGAACAGAAATCCAGAGTCTTTCTGGTGGTAAAGCTAGTTCTGCACTAGATCTGATTACCTGGAGAGTAGAGGAGGTGTCATGGAGGCCTTTAAAGGCAGCAGCTGAGGAATGGTCCAGTGAGGTGGACTGCTTCTCTGCTGAGGTCCTTCTGTTTAGAAGGAGCTGAGCTTCTTGTCCTTTCCTTCCTGCAGCTCCATACACTATCATTACCTTCCCTTTCTTGTTTGCGGTGATGTTTGGGGATTGTGGCCATGGTGCTGTCATGCTGGCCTTTGCACTCTGGATGGTCATTAACGAGAAGAGCCTTCTTGCCCAGAAAAGCACTAATGAGGTGAGTACCAGGGAGCTGGTGCACCCTATCAGCACAGGAAAAGGCTCATCATACCTATTTGATAAAGGGGACATCCAGCCTCCCAAATGCTGAGTGGAGATCCTTTGTAGATGCTTGTGAGGCAGAGATTTGGCAAGTTATTCTGCCTAGTTCTACACAGAGACCTGGATGGACCCAGGGGACCTGGAGTTTCCTATGAATAATTGTATATACATAGATTAGTACAATCATGTCTCCTGTACGCCGAGGCCCACCATTTGATGGTACTGCAGGTGCTTTGGTCACTGGCACTGCCTTCTCCCCCTGCAGATCTGGAACACATTTTTCAGTGGGCGCTACCTGATCCTGCTCATGGGCATATTCTCCATGTACACTGGCTTCATCTACAACGACTGCTTCTCCAAATCATTCAACATCTTTGGCTCTTCCTGGCATATCATCCCCATGTTTAAAAATAGCACTTGGAAGTAAGTGGCTAAATGTGGGAAACAAGTGCAAACACACTGAATGGAGCACGTAGGCTTTGAAAGAAAGACACAGTGACTGCCTGTGTGGGGAAGGGAAGAACTCCCTGCTGTGGATGCAGTCATGGATGAATCAGAGTTTTTGTCTGACATACACAGACAAACTCGCTATTGAAATGGAAATGTAGAGTCCCCAGGAACACGCCTGTTTGTTCAGGCACTGATGTGCATAAAAATCTGCAGGTGTCTGGGACTGATGCATAAAGAATTATCAGTGTGATGGAGACTGTCATTGTGTAGGACCCATTTACACACACAGATACACACACACACATACACACAAGCCTAGGATAACAGTTCACAGAAAGGCTGGAGTCAGTGACTGATATCATGTGGTAGTTTTAAGCACATCTCACGTAAATATACCATAGGCTTATATGGTGAGATTAGGCTGCAAAGGTCATTTCCCTTTTCTCTTGTAGTAAGGATGTGCTTCTGGACAATACGGTGCTGCAGCTGGATCCGGCAGTCCCAGGAGTCTACTCTGGAAATCCATATCCATTTGGAATAGATCCGGTAATTAAATTAAATTGCTCTAAGATAATTTATATTTCAATCCTATTTCTACATATCAGGTACATCAGTAGCTCCCTGCTCTCTCTCCTGAAGCTGTGCTCTTCACTTGCTCTTTGCCTGTTCTTTACACAGCCGTTGTGATGCTTTTCTTTAGCAATCAAGGATATATATTGCTGACAGTTTTGCACAGGCAGCAGCAAAATGGTAAGCAGGAAGGAACTTTGATTTTGCCAGCGTGGTCTTGTGCTGCAGTCTCTGCTCTGTCACCAGTCTGCTGGACTCGGTTTCCTTACTTGAGTACTTAACCCATTCCAGAGCTACCTCACAAGTTTGAAGGCAAAGTCCTGATTTCCATACAGTCTATTTATTGTATGAAGTGTTAAGTAAATGCCAGTATTAGTTAAGTTATCCACATTTTCTTCTCTGTATCTTATTTCCTTTTTCTTGCTGTTCTCTATCATATATTGGAATGTAGTTGTTAACATCAAGCTTTCCTGTTTCAGTCTTCTTATTAGCCAATTAACCTCTGTTCTGCTGGATGCATTCTCACTTCAGTTGGTCACACAAAGAAACACTGTCTTCCCCTGGTTTGCAGAGACATTGACCTTGTAGTAAGTTTCTCACAAACCCAGCTCTAAAGCTCTGCCCAGGACGTAGGCAGTCCAGTTCAGGAAGTCACGACAGAGGAAGCTGAATTTTCTGTATGTTGTCCTGACTCATCCCTAACTTAGGTTAACCTAGGCCAGACACCCTTCCACTCTGGCTGCTGCCTGCTCAAGAGGCTGGGACCCCTGGCTGGGAGGGAGGAACGGCTGAGCAAGTGCTGGCAGGGAAGGGGTGGACTGGAAAGCACCAGCCCTGGCATGGCCCTCTCTGTGGAAATTACCTGTGTCATCTGCCCAGAAGGATGGATGGCTCTTTGCACTCTGCAAGTCCTGGCAGGATGGCTGAGGTGTATCTTGGAAATGAAAGAGTCACCCTGAGATGAGGAGGCTAGGCATTCTCTTCTGGAGCCATAGAAGAGGCAAAGCATGTCGGACAAAGGCACATAAGCTAATCCTTTGCCTTCCAAATAATCCTGTTTTTCTCCTTTCTGCTCAGGTATTAATTATACTCAGTGTCTGAAAAGAGGTATCTACTTACCATCTCTGAGGTCAGGAGACTTTGGGGTCTAGGAAGTTTTAGAAGAAAGGAGAAGCTGCCCTGAAGCTCTATAGCACAAAAAAGGCAGGACTGAGAAGTTAGGTTACTGCCCTAACACAGCTGAAAAGTTACTGCAGAGAGGCAGATGATAATCTGATCTCCACGGCCAAAGAGTTGGAATGAGGGGCTTTTTGTTCAAACAAAGAATTTTAACATGCTGTGCCCTTGGTACTTCACTGGTAAAGGTGGAACAAATTTCCGTAGCAGCAGGAGGGATTTTCTCATGCCTTTCCACCTCTGCTAAAGGAGATGACTCAGCCTAAGGGCAAGGAATGACACTGAAAAGATCGAGGTTCTGCTGCCAGCCTTTGTCTTGGATTCTGGAGGACTGAACAAAAGTCATTACATCATTTTAAATCCCTGTTATTTCCTCTGTTAAACGAGGATAATACTTTATACTGTTTAGATGAGAAGCTTGGCAGAGTGAAAAGTATTATAAGGAACATCTAGATTTCTGTCACTTGTTAACTTCCTACTAGAACTGGTAGGAGTAAACTGGTGGTGTCAGAGCAACAACTTCCACAAATCTATTATTGATCAAACACCTGAAAATTTTGTTCATCTGTCTCTCTCTGCTCCTTTCCCCAAAGATCTGGAATGTTGCATCGAACAAGCTGACTTTCCTGAACTCCTACAAAATGAAGATGTCAGTTGTCATAGGGATTGTGCATATGATTTTTGGGGTGATACTCAGTCTCTTCAACCACATGTAAGTTTGTTTCACCAAGCCTGTTGCTGCAGCATACAAGTCCTCATCACCAAATTAGTGTCCTTCATTCAGAGAAAGCCTCATATCTTGGACTGATGACTTGAATTTTGTCCTTTCCCCCGTGTGAGTAGAAATGCCCCGTACACTGACTGACTCGCCACTGTTGGTACAGAGTGCTGAGTCCAAAGGCCAGAATGACAGCCATCGCATAGCAGATATTCTCTTGGATAAACTCTCTTTTTTGCTTGCTTTCTTATATTCTTGATTCTGCAGAAATACTGAAGTACACGAAATTAAAATTATATAGCAACTCCCACTTTTGATAATTTTTGTCTTGAAAGGCAAACTCTTTTGGCCTAATCCAAAGAACGCTGAAATCTTGCACCGTGTGCATGCATTTCACCTGACTTAGTGGGCCTTTGGTCAGGAGCTGTGGCTCTGCATGTCTATATCTCTGTCTCTGTATTTTGCAACAAAAAAATAAGAAATGGTGATAGAGTGGAGGGGCTGACACTACTGGCTTGAGAGACTTTCCAAAGCTGGAAGGTGTGTAGTGACCTTCAAGGATGGAAAGTGTTTGCAGATGACAGAGAGGGCTGCCCCTACAGAATCGATTCCACACCCGGTTCTGACCTTCCTCAGCGTATGATGCTTAATGTTGTAAATTAGCCATTTTTTGAAAATCAGCTTTTATTTCAATGTAGTAATGTTTTGAGGTGCTGAGATACTGGTGGGTCACGTACAAAAACCTGAAGAGAAACAGTATGACAAAGCTTTTGTATTTAAATAATGGTTTTCATTCATAAAGACTGCAATTACAGGCTTCTTTCTTGGCTGGTGATAGTTGTATGTTTCTTTCCTTATTTTCCAAAAACTAAGTAGTGTACAGTACTGTCATACTTGGGTGCAACCTTGTATTAATGCCTAGTGTATTAATTGTAGTTATCTTTCCTGATTCTTTCCAGCTACTTCAAGAAATATATAAACATTATCCTTCAGTTCATTCCAGAGATAATTTTTATTGTCTCTCTTTTTGGCTACCTGGTCTTCATGATTATTTTCAAATGGTGTCATTTTGATGTCCACTCATCCCAGAGTGCACCAAGCATCCTCATCCACTTCATCAATATGTTTCTGTTCAATTACAGTGACGCTTCAAATGCTCCATTATATCTGCATCAGGTATGGGTCAAGGAGCCTCAAATCCACTGTAGCTGGTTTTGGATTGGCAGTGGGTGTTGTGGAGAGTGGGCATAAAGATGGGTAACAGGCTCAGAAGTTCAATCACAAGTGCCAGTTGCATAAGAGAATTTTGTTCTTCTGGTATTCGTGTTGGCCTTGTAGGCAGATAGGACAGAGGAGCTGTCAATTAGTGATGCAGAGGAAACCTCATTCATAGTGTCATCCTTACAAGAGTGATGATGCAACTTAAGATACTTTTGGGTAAAAAAGGAAAGAAGGCTGATTAGAAATGCAAAGCTGGGTGTTGCAGATGTGCTACCCTGAAGTCTGGGCATGATGCTAGAGACAAAGCAAGCCTCTCCTTTCCTTGATAATTTCTTATTTCTTCTTCGCAAAACTTGAAAACTTTATATTTTCAGCTAAAAAATAGAAGTAGCTAGAGGATTTTCTGACAGCTGTTTGTCAGAAATATCTCCTTTGAGGAGTTCACTAAAAAAGACCCAAAACCAAAAAAGCTCTCTTAAGAGAAAGCTTCTTTTAAAGTAATCTCTATTTATTTGCTCAGAACATGGATTATTCTTTTTTCTTGCTTGATTTTACATCAGCAGCATCAATGAAGAATCTGCAAGCAAATGCTGCCTCCAGCCACATGTATGCATCTACATCCATACAGTTGCACACTCTGGCAATTTAACACGAGCTCAGTTTTAGCGCTGCTGGTGAGTCAGTTAGTAGAGCACCAAGTTCCAAGTAATTGCATTAAGGCTGCAGGGGAGTTTGAGAAAACGCAGTTTTCCCAGCCTTCAAAAAGTCTTTAGATAACATTTTGCCTTGTAACAACCCAAAGCATTTCCAAGTTGGTAATTTTTTTCTCATATTCCTATCCCCCTACCCCACCAGTAACGGTCTGTGCCATCCACCTGGGTAGTCTGAATGCAAAGATTGTATGAGACCAACCATAAGGTGGTCAGAGATCTGAGCCAGCTTTAAAAAAATGCAAAAGTTGTAGTCTGGGGGTTTCTTTCTTTGGGTTTTTTGTTTTGCTTTGTTTTTCTTAAAATACAAACAGTTATGTTAGGACAGCAACTGGGCTGGCATACTACAACAAGAACATCTTATATTGTGGGGGCAATGTGTTATCAAACCTAAGCTATGGGGATTCAATTCCCTTCTGGAACTGCAAATGTAGAGCAAATTCTGGGTTCCCTGCTTTCCAGGGGAAGACCTGAATGACTTGGCTCTTACTGCAGTATTTCTATGTTGATCAAAGCAAGGCAGACTGACTGTCTCACCCAGCAGTTAGGACATTCACTTGGGACACTGGAGAGCCAGGTTCAAGTCAGTAACGCTGGGTTTTGGCAAATTAACCCTTTCCAACATGAAAGCCTTTCATCTCTGAGTCTCCAACAATCTCTAGGTGGCAGTGCTTTCTGGAGCCTTAAGCAGTCTACATTTATTTTCATGCCCTTACAAGCAGAGGAGACTCAACCGATACAGGGAGTATATCTGTTGTATAAAAAAAATACCATTTTATAGAATCAGGTTTCTAACCATAAATGTAGTTAGCTAAAGTAACTCTTTGCTCTTTTTGTTGTTTTGTGTTTTAGAAAGAAGTGCAGAGTTTCTTGGTCATATTTGCTCTGATTGCTGTTCCCTGGATGCTCCTAATTAAACCTTTCATCCTCCGAGCCAACCACCAGAAAGCGCAACGCATGGTAAGGGATGTGGATCAGGCAAGGGGGATTCAGTACAGCAAAAGCAAAGCTGAGGGGACAGACCCCAAAAACTGTTTGCAGTGATCTAATTCTGCTTTTCTCTGACCTCAGAGTTTCTCTGGTGATTTCAAACTGCGCTTTATGGCACATGCACCAAGAGCATGTGTATGGACATTTGGCTGATCCACCTAAAAGGAAAGCAGGAGCTTTGCTCACAAGGCCATACCCTATTTGTTGGGAGAGGAGTTAAGCTGACACCAAGCTCGTTCAAGTGTCATATCCCAAACCAGAGAAAGTTTAGAAAGACTGAAGTGATGGTAAAGCCAAGACAGGGCAAAGACCTCAGTTGCCAGTCCACAACCACCACTGGTTGGCTGCTCTGTAGGAACGGCACATCTGCGATACTCATGGCCTTGGAGACATCAACACTGCTTGGAGGAGAGGCTTGATTTAAAAGCTGTTGCCTGCTTTCCAGCGGTGCTTTCTTCCCTAACAGATTGCCTTCACATTAACAGAGCCCTCCTTCCCATGGGCTCTGTGGTTTGCCCAGGTCTTCAGCACTTAACTGTGGCAGCTGCAGTTTCCCACTTGTTCATTAATTCTCTCCTTTATTACGCTAACAGGACTTTACTTGTCTGTCAGGATTTACTTCTCTTTATAGTCGGAGTTAGGGCTTGGAGTACCTTTTATAGGGCACAGATGTTTCCATTTGAAGAAAGAGATGCTGGTTGTGCTGCATGACCTTTTCCAACCCAGTCACTTCTGACCTATAACTGAAAGCCAGGTTCCTGGGAGACCTTTGCAGCCCTGCCTCTGTGCTGTAATTTCTTATTTTGTCATTCTTCTGGGATTTGGATGAAAGCTTGACATGGCTGACTCCATCTCCTGCTTTTATGCTAGCAACATCTGACAGCTTTTCACCACCTCCCATTATGCCTCTGTATTTCTGTTCCTAATTTTCATACGTTAGCTGTCTGATCACATCTTACATTTACCCAGATTTATATGTTTGCAACAAAGTCTGTTCTCTATGCTGACATTCAGGTAAAGCAAATATAAAGCGGGTGTGACAATGATTACTGCTGCAATAGGAAACAATATGTTATCATGAGACCTTGCCTGTGAAACCTTATAGCTGGAAGCTATAAAGAGTGACAGGGCAGAACCTGACAGAAGCCGTGAGGTCCATATTTGGTTGTGCTGTATAATAGCACTGTTATAGTCATATAATGTAGGGCTATTCTTATGCTGTGCTGTCATTTCTGGATTGAGCCTCAGGTCAGGTTGTTCAGGCCTCTAGAAAAGTTCTGTAAAGAATGATTACCGAGAGAAGATGGGTTGTCATGAGATTTTTGCCAATTTAAAATGAATCAAGAGATCTGAATTTTATTTCTGCCTGTATCCCAGGAACTGTGTGACCTTCAAGTCACCTGATCCTTTCAGGCTCCATTTCACTTTCACTTGATGCTGCTTCTTTTGATTTGCACCCATCTAACTGAAATCATCAGCTTTAATGTGCCTTAGTTTTCTCATTTGCCAAAAGTGATGGATCTTCTCATGGTGGGTATAAATCGTGCATTTTGAGACTAGAAAGTAGCTCCAAATTAGTTGGAATCACTGGAAAATGCTCTAGGATGGTAAATATTTAAGTATTATTAGCCATTCAGCAGGAGCACTCGGTTTCTGTGGTCCACGATGACTGACTATTGTTGAAATTGTCCTCACATTCATGATATAGTCCTTCATATGTTACCTATCATGAGGTTATTGACAGAGTTCTGTGCCATGGCCTGCTTCATTTTGGTATCAACCTGTAGCATGACACAAAATACATATTACATTTTATTTCTGAAAGATTCAGTCTCAAGCCATCTCAGGAAACCCTGGAGGTGAAAGTGAGGTAGATGTCCCAGAGACCAATCACTCCAAGAAAGCTTCCCAGGGAGACCACAGTGGTGGCCATGGAGGACATGAGGGTGATGATGAAGAGGTAAGAAATTGTGAGCAGAAAATTATTCAGACACACACAATACTAGAAGACACAAAGTCAAGCAGAAGGAAGTGGGAGGTGCCAGCCCTTCTTTTTAACAAGATACCAAGACATACTGTTGCGACAGTTTGTGTTTCCAAACAGAGTAAGCTTTGAATTTTCATAGAATGAATTCCTCTAAATTTTTCCTTTAGTTTTGCCTGGTGAGGGCAAGCATTCTTACAAACCATAATCTTTTACAAACCTCAAGCTTTTGTTTCCCCAGGCGGGGTTGTTTCACTTCCACATTGCACCCAGAAAAGGTCAAGCCTTCCCCAAGAGTCAGTGAGTTTTTCTTCCTTTAAATTGCAAAGGAGCATTGCAAAGTTGGCAGCCTGCACTATTGTTGGCTAGGGAGAAGAGTCTTCCTTTGGCAGATATTGTCAAGGTCTTCTGCAGTATGCAGCAACACAGTTAAAAAAGTGACAAATTTTTTTGTAGCAGTTGGAAGTACCAACAATATTGAGTGTGGATATGGATGACTGTTCCCAGTCACAGGGAATCTTCAGAGTCTTAGAAGACATGTTTATGCAGTGATATCTCCCAAAATGCATATGCCAATAGGCAGATAGTCTGAAAATCCCTATTTTATATAGAATTTCTGTCTCTAGAAGAAATCATGAAGATTGGTAGCAATTGGATTGGCATCTTATTCCAGATTTGAAATTGCAAGACTGGAATATGTGCTGGTTCCTGAATATTTGCTTTTCTGTGGAATTTTATTTCTCTGGGGAGAAAGTATGGGAAGATAATAGAGAACTGACAATTTTTGAAGCAGTCTTTTTATCTGGGAACTATCTGTGTGTTGCTAGGACATATGAAGGAAAAGGGAGGAGTATGAAGAGCCTTTGGTAGAGTGTTCCTCTGTTAACCAGGAAGCCCTGAATTAAGAACTAATAAAATGCGTTTGATTTTATGTTGTTTCAGTTCAATTTTGGAGACACATTTGTCCATCAAGCTATCCATACCATTGAATACTGCCTTGGCTGCATCTCCAATACAGCATCCTACTTGCGGCTCTGGGCGCTGAGCTTAGCCCATGCGCGTGAGTGGTTGACTACCCATTAGTTACCTCACCACCAACTCCATGCTTCTGTCAGTGTTTGATTATTGCTGTGAATTTCTCCATGAAATCAAAATTCTCCTTGTGGATGTTTGTGTCTCAGAATGTTGTGCTTCAGGTCAGATCAATCCAGGAGTTTCATGGTGGCCATCTCAATTTTTAGTGGTGATCTCTGGCAGCTATATATCAGGCAGCTCCTGACTGCATTTGCTGGCTGGGATCTATTTCCCACGCTGCTCTGCAGCTGCCCCTCTGGAATAGTCCTCATGGTGTGTGGCACTGTGGGAAGTGCAGTCCAAATGGGTAGTCCAGTCCACAGAGTATGGGAACCATATCTTCATTTCCCAGGACACACTTGCTATAGCCTTAGGGTATGCAGATGAATGTCAAAATTACTTGAAACAGTTATTTTGATGTGGTTTAGCAAACTAGGAAGAAAAGTTTTGGTTCAAGAACTCCTAGAACTTGTCATTTTCACTGGGAATTTTTCCAGCAACATTTAGTGGAACCTCACATTCCATGAGAAATGTACAGCATTTCAATGTCTTTTGTTTTGATTTAAGATAAAAACAAATGCACAAATACTAGAAATTGCCTCAGGCTGGAACTTCAGATTTTCAACAACTCTAATTTTTCTGAAACGTTTTTTATTAATATTGTTGTACTGCCTCTGGCTAGCAGTTACACCTGCCCTAAAGAATTGGGCACACAGAAAAGGAAAACAAAAGGGGGGCTCTGCCATGGATTGACAGGGGTGAGCTGTACTTCTTGGCACAGAAATGAGCTTAGTAGGAGTCGAGTAGAAGCTAATACACATTAGCTTTATATGGAGGGCAGATATCTAAATAATATAAAATAAACCAATTAAAAAGCTTAGCTAAGGGCAGATGTATGTGTTAGATCAGAATTCTGCCTGGAAAACCACCATATTCCTTTGCAGCCTTACAAACTGGCATTGACAGGAGTCTTTTTTTCCTCAGGGCAGCTGTTGCAAGGGATCCCTTGCACCTGTTGTCACCTAAAGTAACAGGTCATTGAATCTATAGTCTGAATATGGCTCAAGGACCAATGACTGGCAAAATGGAAAATAAGGCTGAACCAGTGGCCAGAGCATCTGGATGGAGAAGAGCCGGGCTATGTCCTTGCTTTGCCTTTATTGCAAGAGGAAAAGTTCTCAGTCCTGAATCTATCCAATGTGCCCGGGGTAGTTAGGTTAGGAGTATGGTCTTGCATTGACAGGACATGTCAGGTATACAAGCACTGTGAATGTTGATATAAACCTGTGTAGGAAAAAAAATCTTTAAAAACATGCAAGTAGCCCAAACATTAATACAGCCTGCCTTGAACGGGACCAACAAGTTGTCCTTTTTTTTTTTCCACTACAGCTTCTCCATGACACCATAAAAGAGGTGGTTAAAAGAACAAGTGGGAATTACACATCTCTTGTGGGTCAATCAGTACAACTTGTAACCTCATCTACACATGTATTGACTATGTCAATCAATCATGTTCACTGGGATTTAGCAGCAGGTAGTCCTAGAAGGCTTGGCATGCTGCCTATCTGCCATGTTAAAGAGGTGCAAATTAAACTGATGACTGTATCATGCCAGGGTAACAGCAATCCTGGTAGTGTGCTCACATGGACTCGCGACAGAAAGCCAAGCTAAAACAGCACCATCAGCTTCTAACACAGTAAAGAGGAGAAATGGAAAACAATCTGCATCCGCCTTCCTTCCCTAGTCATTGTGGAGAGGCAGGGTGGCCATACATGATTACTGTCATGTACATTTTATCCTAGGCCAGCTCATCGAACTGGGAAAAATGGGTGAGCTGCCAGACTGCACGCTGTGTCTGTCCATGGCTGTTGCTCAGCACTGTTTTACCTTTATTTCCTTTTGCAGAACTGTCAGAGGTCCTTTGGACCATGGTGATGCACAATGGGTTCAACAACAGTGGCTGGGCAGGCCTCATCATCATCTTCATCATCTTTGCGGCATTTGCAGTGCTGACGGTAGCCATCCTCCTTGTCATGGAGGGGCTCTCAGCCTTTCTGCACGCCTTGCGTCTGCACTGGTAGGTGGTGTGGTCTTTGGGAGCTTTTCCCAAAGCAATCTTGGGGAGGGATCAGGCATGGAAACAGATGGCCACACCAGCTGGTGTTAGACATGCCGTGCTAGTACCTGTGCATTAGGACATTGGTCCCCCTTGGCAAACGAAGTGAGGGAGACACTTCCAAAAGGAGGTCAGTGCTCCCTGCTCCATCTCTGAGCTGCTCCCTGGAGCAACCTGCTTGCCCTCCTGAGCCTGTGGCAGCTGTGGGCACATGTGGCAAATGGCAACCTGCAGTTCTGCCCTGGTAAATGCGCAGAGCCACCGAGGCCACCTTCACCTGCATGATAAGGCCTGAAGGCACAGCCACACCCCTGGTTGTGTATCCCACCCAGGGTTACCATCAAACAAGCCAGCTGGGGACTATCTACTGCAGCAAGAGTTCAGCGGGGGCTGCAAAACCTGGTGAAAGCCTGGGCCAACACTTGCGCCATTAGCCCAGGTTGAGCTCTAGGCTTTTGTGGTTTTGTGCCAAACCAGTTTCAAGCTAGCTTGTGTCTGCCTTAACTGGATGACCGTCCAGGCAAGGACAGCAGTGCGGATGCACCATGAGGCTAGTATGTAAAGAAAGACCAAGGTAACAAGTCACCCCTCACCACCACCATAACTTGGCATCCTGCCTGAGCACCCAAGCTGTGGACTTTTCACCATGTAACATCCTACCACAAACCACAAACGCTGCCAAGGCAAACCGTGGTGCAGTTGCTTGTCATTGTGTGGGGAGGGGGAGATGTCTGTCTCCCACCAGAACGTGCAACCAGCGGGCAGTTATCCCAGCTCTCAGAGCTGCTCGAAGCAGCTCAGTGGGCAGGCAAGGTCCTGCCGACTGGCCTCACGAGGAGCATCTCAGGTTGACTGATGAAAAGTCAAAGCTGATGAGTACCAGGTTGCTCCCTGGGCTGCCTGTGTCTCACTGCTGGCTCCAGAAGGACCTTACATTCCTGGCTCAGAGGATACCATTTCTCGTGGCCTCCCTTTTCCTGTGGGTGCCATGTTTCCACCTCTCGGCTGGCCGTAAGTCCTGCCCACGGCTGGCACTGACAACCCCCTCTGCTCCTCCCCAGGGTGGAGTTCCAGAACAAGTTCTACGTGGGAGCCGGGTACAAATTTTCTCCATTCTCCTTCAAGCACATCATCGATGGCGCCGCAGAAGAGTGAAGCCAGTGCATTGCTGCTTCGCTCCTCAGACCAGGCTCTATTTTCTTGTGGTCGTTCACCCACACACTGGGGTATATGGGATGAAACAGAACGGGATGTGGCCCTTGAAAGAAGAGCAGCTGTAGATGAGAACGTCCTAGCTGCATTCACATATACCGCTGTATCAGCTGAGAGCTGAACTACGTTGGCTGGGCTGGCTGGACCCTTGGCTGAGTACCTCCACTGATGTCTTTGCCAAGTACCTGGTCCTCAGCATTTGATCAGGTCAGCTGCCTACTGCTTGGTTGAAAAGAGGAGATGCAGCTTTTGAATTAAATTGGTTATTAGTAATCAACTCACATGCGTTTTGCTCCATTTACTGCCTTGTCTTTGTGGCATATTTCTTTCCGAGGAAAATATGTTTCGGCTGTTGTTTCAAGCTGCGGTTGATCATATGACAACGATTAAAGCCCCTTATAAGATTGCAGCCCTTCATTTAGCACACAATGCAAACCAGCTCAAAGACAGATCATATTGCAGGCTTGCAATTTTCTACATGCTTTACTATAACAACCCTCTTTTTATCTGATTTGCTCCAGGGCTTGACAGCACTGGATTATAGATGTTTGCACATGTCATCACTTAACAAAAGTTTTAGTTTTGAGCTGTGTAAACAAATGAGTGCGCCAGTTTCCACATTGGCAGACAATTTATTTCTCTCTATTGACTTGTTTCTCACTGGAGACTTAAGATGACTCCTCCTGTGCTGTATTTTTCAAGACAAGTTTTTAAAGCAGACTGTGTAGAAATGCTAATACCTAATGAACAGAAAGAAGAGAGGAATCAAAACAGCTGAGATGAATTTGCAGTATTGATGTACTGTGATCTTTCCTAAATATTCATGAATTACTAATCTTTCAAATTGAATAGCATTAATTGTGACAAGCTATTTTTTTTAAGCATGGAGGATGTAAAATCCCCACACAGATTTGGAGGTGACAGTTTTTCCTTCAATGGGGTGTGGCCAAACAAGCCTCATTTTCAAACCTCGCCCCCCTGATATCCAGCTCCACCAAAGAAACCCGCTGGGAGTGTTCCCAGCAGGACACACAGTGGAATAGTCATCACGGGCCGTGAGTCTGCAGCAGTCAGGCTGGAGAGGCACTTTCCTGCTACAGTGACCGGGGAGAAAATACAGCCCCAGGCAAAGCAGTTTTTCCACTTTTTCCCTTGTGGTGCCAAGAAGCCATACTGGCGTTGGGCACTGGTTACCAACCAAGTCAGGAGCCTTTTTCCCTCTTAACAACAGCTTGGGCTTGAAGCAGCAGCCGGAGCTGAGAAGAGGTAGGCACAGGAGTGTGTCCATGACCCACGCGTGGCCCCGTGCCATCAGTTCTTCAGGCATGGGTAACCTACGGTACAGACAAAAACCACATGGACATGAATGCAGCTGGTGTCACAGTTGCTCAGCATATGCACATCACCTTTGTTTCTTCCTTCCAGCCTATTTTGTTTATTCCTATTCAGGAGAAAAGGTGTCTTGAAGCAAGAAAGGCCAAACTAGTTTGATGCATTACCAAATGCAGAGAAAACAATTTGCTTTATGAAACAGTGGGAGGATTTTCTGCACAAACATGTATTTTATCTTTATTGCACCTTTCCATGTGATTGCAAGGTAACTGAGAAGGTGATTACCTGAAACAGAATATCTGCTTTTTCTAGAGCTTCTTGGTGTTTTGCTTTTTGCCTGAGGTTTAGATTTTAATCAAGAAAAACAAGTTATCCTGTGAATACTGCAGGTGACAAGATGGTCTGTTGTTTACTGTACTGAACAGCGATTCAAACATTTGGCTTAATTCTGTATTCAGATCTCCCTTTCTGTTTGCAACTGAATAACGCAGCAGAGCCTGTGGCTCACTTGTGCATTCGTGATATGGGGATGGCACTTCCCCACTCCACACGAGGACCAAGCCCACTTATAATCAGGGAGCATTCAGATGAAAAATTGCTGAGAGACAGGGCTGTTCTTCTACACTTTGAGGAGAGCCCTGGCTTTCAGCTGCATTGTTTTTAAGACATATTTAAAAACCCAGAAATGTTCCAGAGAGTGCCTTGTTTTTAAAAGGTTTTCCTGCAGAAGATGAGGGGGATTTTGGAGCAGAGCAGAGCAGAGCCCATTCCCCAGAACAGCTGCTAAGCTGAATGGGACCATGCTTTCTAGCTGATGCTGTGAATGTGACCACCAGATGTGGTCAGATCCAGCAGAGATCACCATTACAGACTAGTAGACCTTGGTACAACACCCTGGTGTCCTTATCTGGACTTTACTCATTGCTGGAGGAGGTCTGACTTCCAATTACCTGAACTCTTTTCTCAAGTCAGGACCTCAGCATGCCCCTCCAAGGCGGACTCAGGATTGGTGCCTAGGGTGCCTCTGGATCCAAAGCTCATCCCATTGCTAGGAAGGTGCCTGTTTCTGAAAGCTGGTGACATGAGTTATATAATTTGGATAAAATGAATTTAGAAAAACTCAGTGAATGACCATGTAGGAAGTGAAAGTGATAACAAACTCAATCAAATGTGTTTCAGTCACTCACACTCATTCTCCCCTGGATTTTTTACTCCTTCTCATGCGAGCCATTGCTGTGTGTGGCCAGGCCCTCCTGCCAGCATGACTTCGGTGATGCAGAAGATGAGGAAAGCCAGGTATTGAGTTCTCACCCAGTCTCTTGGGTCCTCTGGACTGATGATGATGATCTGGTTTTTGGACTGAGCTTTCATAAACCTAAGGAGTCAACAGTTTCTTGGAGCTCAGCCTCAGGCTCCTGCAGTGAACAGCAATTTCCTCAGCGTTTACCTGTGTGATGGCTCTCTGTCATGTTCTTGGCTGGCATGGAGACCTTTCTTCTTGCCCTGGCTCTTTGTTTCTCCTGGAGCTTTCACACATGCAGACATTTCTGTTTGTGCTTCACTATGACCAGTCTTTGCCTTTCCATGGCAAACAACTAAAATATCATAAGGTGGTTAAAAAGAGCAACAGGCATAGCAACCCTTTGTTCAATGCCAAACACCTGGGCCTGAAAGCACATCTCTGTGGCTGAGAATTTCACTGGTATTTTGGTCATTTTTTCCCTTCTGTGCTGGGAAGCTGGAATGCCAAAACATCTGTACCTGCCTGTGATTGGACGCATGCTGAGTTTTTGCAATGAAAACATAGTGGTATGGATCTGGCAGCCTGGAACATGCATCTAGTTCAGCAGATTCCAATAACGGCTGTAGCTGAATATTAGATATTATTAAGGGGAAAATAAGGCTATGAAACAGCATATGTTGGCTGGCAGCAAATGTCTTCCTGATGCTTGGAAGCATGAGATTCAGCGTGGGAGTTACGTGCTTTGATAAAACTATTGCAGCATTGCTGCCAGCTCAGTGTACTTATTTCAAAAGAGAAGGATTTGGGGAACCCTCACAGAAGAGTGAGACAAAAAACATCCCAGCATCTTCACTGGGAGAAACTAAAGCCAACGCCAATACACTTGAGTAGAAAAGGTTGACATATACACTCCTAGTCAAGAGCACATACATATAGTAGCTCAGATTCACTGAGCAACCCAACCTGTAAACACAGAGATTTGTTGCATGGTAAGGTCAGGATCACTGCAGCAGATTAAGCCATGAATGTGCACTGCAGTTGGTGCTCAGTCAGAAAGTTTAAAAGGATGAAGCAGATGAACAGGCCCTGTTTTTTTCATGGTGATGGTACCTGAGTTGGCTTTGCCTGGCTTGAGGGGGGCTGTTGGCTGCAGCGCCTGGGTGCTGCTCATGGCTTTGCAGGGGTTAGCAAAAGCCCATTCTATGGATGCTGGTGCTGCAGGACCTGCCCCCAAAACCTGTCAACTAAAATCTTGCCAGTGTAGTAATAGGGACATCTCACCAGTGCCCTCCCTCCATCTCCCTGGGGTCATCCCTGTGGTGGGCAGCCCCTGTGGAGGACCTGTAGGTGCCACGGGACCAGCACAGGTCAGCGCTGGGGCACCCCGCCTACAGCACCTACTTCTGGGCCGGGGAGGTGGGTGGAGATGGACTTGCCTGTGCCCGGCGAGTAGGAAACCTGATTCCTGGGAGCTGGATCCCAAACCCACAGCACCGCCAACACTGTAAAAAGAAAAGAGCAGAAGGGAAAGAAACAGCCAGAAAAGAGGAGAGGTCTGCTCCTCCGTGTCTGAGACATTGCAGAGGTAAGGAAGCTTCACTCAAAACAAAAAAAAAAAAAAAAGAAAACAAATCTAATCGAGTCTTGGCTTAATAGTGGGGGTATCTGATTATTTGTATGTCACGTGCAGAAGCTCTCTGTCTTTGCTGACAAAATTCCCAGCTGGTCTCCTGAGCAGCATTGCATGGCATGTGCCCTTCACTGTCTTGCAAGCCCTCCAGCGTGGGGTCACAATGTCCTGCTGCTGGATCCCAGCAGCAGTTTCATTGCATTCTTTCTTGCTCCCTTTGGATGGAAGATGGCTGATTTCCTTGCCAGCAGCAGCTTTGTCACTGCTGTTCTTTTGGCCCACATAATTGGTATTTAGTATTTTCCGCAGGATTTACAAATAGTGGGAAACCTGAAGAGGTGTGATAGACACTAGCTACCCCATCAGGGCAAACAGTGCTGCAAATATTTGGGATGAACAAACCGTGGGTTTGGTAGGAACTGTTAGGGAGTTTACTGAAGAGTTGGATTTAAATCTCTATCTTTTGGACATAAATGCTAGAGCAGAGCATATGGTGCCAGGGACTTACCTGAACAGTGGCTTCTTGTCTGCTCATGGATGAGTGAATTTTGCTCCAGCTGCCCCAATACCCTGGAGAGAGGGGGATGCAGGTGCCTGCACACATTTCTGGTGTTATTTGAGATGCTACAGCAGGTATTCCACCTGTTCACCTGCTGCTATTTTAAAGTAGTGTGGGTCTCCCATAAATGTTATCCACCATCCTGATGCCTCTGGGGGTGTCTTAGATGGTGTGGGGTGTTGGAGGCTGCAATGCACCCTTCTGCTTGAGCACCTGAGCCTCACCAGGTGTCCCACACAGCAACACAGGGGACTGGGGTTTCCTCCATGGTCCCCTGAGGTGAGGAGGAGTTTGGTGCTTGCCGCTTGCTGGCTGTGCCTTCCCAGGGCAGCCGGCGTTAGGGGCGTAGGCTTGGTCACCCTGCTCCTTGGCACAGCTGTTCCCACCCGCTGGCTCTGTGTCAGTGCATGCTCTCATAAGGCTGAGCAATTACAGAGTGCAGCACGTCTACTTCTCACTAGACCCTGGCTCCCAAGGGGTGGCAATTTCTGTGTCATGGTTTAACCCCAG